CAATATTTTAATAATAACAGTACTAGATAACAATAATCCCACACTGAATTCATATTGAAATACAACAAATTTCAATGTTGGCTTCTCTTTTTTTGCAGGATATTTATATCCTGATGAAGCTTAATGGTAGTTCCTAAAAATGACCTTAACAAGATTATCAAAAGCTGTTATTTAATAGGAATTAGGAATCAAAACAAAATCCAAGTTTTATTTGTGGAATCCTGTGGACATCATCTGGCATCATTGTAGGTAGTTCTTGACTTACAACCACAATTGACCCCCAAATTTCTCTTGCTAAGTGAGAGAGTTAAAAAAAATGTCATCCCATTTTATGACCTTTCTTAGCACAATTGTTAAGTTAATCAATGCAATTGTTAATTTGGTAACACCGTTAAGTGAATCTGGCTTTCCCATTGACTTTGCTTGTTAGAAGGTTGCAAAAAGTGATCACAAGACTCCAGGCTACCACAACCATCATAAATGAGTCAGATGTCAAGGACCTAATTTTAATCATGTTGACTATGGGGATGCTGCAATAGTTGTGTGAAAAACAGCCATAAGTCACTTTTTTCAATGCCTGTTTGTAACTTCAAACAGTCACTAAACAAACTTAAGTCAAATACTACCTGTATATTACCGAGGACTACCCAAAATAACCAAAACCCATTAGTACATTGACCCCAAGCCTAGAACTTCTTCTGCGCAACCATTTCTATATTTGAGAATTAGCTAGCCCTTTTTGTAATTGACATTTCTATGTTAAGAAACTGGGATTAGTTATGAATTTCCTGCTAACCTACTTCCTACATAACAGAAACAGGCTGTTCAGTTAAGATACAATATACTGTATTTTATCTCCACTGAGGTTATCTTCCACTCATCTTAAGATTTTCATAAAAATGTAAAATGAACTTTCAATTGGGGATCCTCATCTAATCAGAAGAGGCCAACACATTCCCTCAGGTATCCTCTGCACAGAATATTTTGCAAATGGTCTGAAACCCCCCAAAATATTTAGGCAGGTAACAATTAGCCTGCGTAATTGTTGCTTGCCCTTGTTCTTTTCTTCTCCTTCTAAATAAACGTTTTGTATCTCAATACATGCTTGTTTTGCTTTAAAAGAGAATTTGCCACAATTTTTGGGCTGAACCCTTATTTTTCTTATTTTTTAGAATAATGATAAGGTTTTATGCCTTAAGTTCCAAGTTACTGGGAACAAGAACATCTAAGTGCTTTCTTTTCACTTTTTTTTTGCCTAGAATTGTGTGGATTGGAAGACTCTTAAAAGAAAAGCTTAGAATTCCTCAGTGGACAGTTAGAGGAGACAGCAGATACAACCCGACTCCTGGTAATCATTTATGACAAATAGGGTCTCTTAAATATAAAGTTTCTATCAATAGAGAAACAAGGGTGCATGTTTTCCCAATCCTTAATATTGATTATACAAATGTTTAGAAAGCACTGACTCAATGAAAAATATAAGCCAATAAACTCCCAACATAGCTCTTTTAATAATGTTGCAGCAAGTTTGAAATTTGTGTGCATTATTTAATTGATATTGTTTTTCATTGAAACATAACATTAAGTCTAGGGAGATAAGAGGTTTTCTTCATGGAGGAACAGTGCAGTCCTACCCTGTGTTCAAGTCAATCCTCTCCCCTGTAAGGATGCATATATGGAATTACAGAATTAAAATTCTCCTGGTGCCAAAGCATGAAAAGAAGGAATGGAAGACTTTATCCATAATTTGAATCAAATTAATTTAAGAATCAATGTTATTGAATAGAAAATTGGACACATTGAAATAGTTTTAATTACTTGATTAAATGTTAGCTGCGATTGCCTCAATAAACAGAGGGGAGAAAAAATACTATCAAGTATACAGTATATTCATTGTCAAGCTTCTTTCCTCCAAAGAACTATAAATCTGGTTGGAATACTGTTCTTTGGAAAACTGTTTTTGGAATACCATGCTCTTTTTCAAATCAATCTTTTTCAATAATGAATTATAAATAAAGTACAATTAAAGTTATCTGTGTATTAATATTATTGATCAACAACTTAAGAGTTGCTGTGGAATCCCAAAAACACATTTTGATCTGAAATTTTAAATGTATTTTTATTGTACCAATAGAGAATATTTTAGTCTGAGGTTGAAATGAGGGGATTTGCAAATGTTTCATGACCCAAACTAGCACTGATAATGTTTCATGACCCAAACTAGCACTGATGTTACCTTGTTTGGGTAGTAAAATGTCTGCAAGAAAACAACTATGTTCAGAATGCCAAGGACCTCTCTTTTTATTGTCCAATTTTATTTTATTCAAAAGATTAAAACACAAAATCTAAAATAAAAAAAATTAAACACAGGCAAATTTAGACAAAAAGATAAAAAACATGAATAAAAAAGGACAAAAACAATAATTGTAACAATACCTTCCCCCTATTGAAAAGGAGGTTTAACATTTATAAGCTTGTACATCTATTTGCAACCCAAATGACCTGTTACACATTACATATATCAGGGGTGTCAAACCTAAGGCCTGGGGGCCGGATCTGGCCTGTGAGATGCTTAGATATTGCCTGCGGGGCTGTTCTGGAAACAGTGAAGGACCAGCCCCAGTGCCTTTGCCAGTGAAAATGAAGCACCATTTTTACTGGCAGAGAGTTGCAGAAGGCCATCAGAGCTGAAAATGGAGCTCATGAGGTCCGCGGGTGGCACTCCCAAGCTCAGTTTTTGTTGGCAGAGTGTTGCATGAGGCTGCCGCAGCCGAAAATGGAGCTCGGGACCACCACAGGTGCCCCTGACATAAATGATGTTGAGCTGGCTGCACCCACCCTGGCCATGCCTCCCTCCCCCCTCCCAAGGTCAACCACAGCCCTGATGTGGTCCTCAATAAAATTGAGTTTGACACCCCTGATGCATATGAAGGAAAAAAATAGTTAACAAGTCAAACAAAAGCAAACTTGAAGCTCAAAGCATTCTGTTAACAGTCTGTTATTATAATTTACTTGTAGAACAGAATCACCCCGGCCATTATCTCTGAGTCAAATACCAGAGTATTTGGTCAAATGCCCTGATTTGGGTCTTAATAATGAAACCTTTCCTTAGGTTTTTAATTGGGAACTTTCCCAACAATTGCATTTTATTTCCAAAGTTCATAAGACTCTATTGTAAGTGTCTTTGCAACATATGTTATTGAATAATTCTTTTTGAGAATACAACAGTCATCTTGCCAGAGAGTCCAGTCCATCCTTCATTATATCCATTGTCTCAGAATTTCTTATATTCATATTCTTTTCAATCATTTCTGGCAGATCTATATTTTTCAAACCATAGTTTCTTTTTCATATCTAATGGCAACAGATCAGATTCCAATTCCTCAGATTGCAAATTGAGTCCAACTGTTGTTTCCTGCTTTTGAATATCATCTTGAGATTACACAACTGTTTACTAGAACAAAAAATTGTGGTTGTGGAATTTTAAATGTCTTGAGCTGAACATTTAAAAATTAAATAGCACTGTCCAACTTCAACATCAGCCAGTTTTAGATTTGCTTTTAAACAGAAGCGATTTCAGAGACTTACGATACATATTACAGGAGGAAGCCATTTTGATTTTTGAAAGCATTATTATAATTTGTCATTATAAATTTCAGGTGCTTGTTATTCTAGCAGGTAAACTCATTTCAAGATAGTGAAAGCAGTTTGAACAATTAAATTTCTCTAAAACCATAGGTTTCAGTATTGTGAAGACTCTCCTCCATAAAGGAATTTCAGCTTAGTAGAACCTTTTCTGCTGTGGCCACAATCCTTTGGAGGACTTTGCTTCTGGAGGTGTGATCTGCCCCCACTTTTGACCTTACTCAAGAGCCTTAAAACTTGCCTCTACCAGTTGGCTTGGAGCTCCAATGAAGGCACTCTATGCTGGAGAAGGCTGCTGGAGGGATAGAGGAGATTCCATCACCATACTGTGGTACTCTTGGTGTACAGTTTCTTATCTATGTCCTATTATTTTCTGAATTTATGATATTATAAGCCACTCAAAGTTGCTATGGAAAGGGAGATGAGTGGCATACAAATTTAATAAATTAAGTACATTTCTGACAACTCTTTTTGATATTGTATCTCTAAATATATTTCAATGTTTTTGTCTTGGCTCATCTAGAAAACCAGAGTCAGGATGAGCAGCTGGATGGTGGACCATCTGGGACTGGAGAATTATCGAAGAAGACCATAGCAAACCACTTCTATTCTCTGCCCATAAAAAGTAGGCTTTTCATGGATATCCCACAGAAATTCTGAAGAGTCCAGCTTGCCTGAAAAATGACTATTTTTATTCTTAACATTTAGATCCAAGATGCTAGTAATTGTAACAAAAATCAGTTGGTTTAATGGCTAAAGGCAGCAGGCTAAAATCAAGGAGATGATGAATTCTAGTGCCACCTAAGGCACAAAGTTTTTCAGGATATACATGGAACAGGTTATCCTTCTGTAAATAGAATTGCATATGAGATCATGTTCAAGTCAAGTCAAGTTGCCTCATATGATCAACCACACTGGATGCTGCACCTGGTTGAACAGAATAATTAACACCAGCCTGGCGAATTTGAGCATATTGAGCAACCAATCCATTAATAAAAGGCCTTAGTTCTATCGTAATATTTTTCAATCCCTCATATCGTTTAAGAGACTGAACTCCTCCTGCCAAAATTTGAAGTTGAATGGCAGTGTAAAGAATGTTTGGAAATTGTTTATTTGTATGTTCTGGCCGTGCAGTATTAAAAACATAAGTCCATCCAATCCAATGGCAATTGTTAACAGTATCTCCAAATGCAGCTGCTACTGCCATCTCGTCTTTTGTTGTAACTGCTTTTATTTCTTCATTTAGCTCTGTCCAGGGAAAATCTTCATATGTTCTAATTGCTTGATTAACAGTTACTATTCCAGTAAGCATTTTGTTTCTTGTTTCTTCAACCATAGTCCCAAGCGTCAATGAGATTTTAGTAACTTCTGCTTTAAGATTAGTAAACATCTCTTCAAAGTTTTGTCCAGTGGTCTGCCCATCCCAAATGGCACGAAGACAATAGAAACCATTAATCACAGCATCTTGGTCTACTTCAATATCCTGAGATCCTGTCTCTCGACGGATTTGTCTAAGAGTTTTGTTCAGTTTAGCTGGAGTAATACTCCCTGCACAGGTTATTATTAATACAGCTGTGGTCAAATTTGCTAATATTTTTTCTCTAAATTGGGGTGACATTACCATAACCCGAGCCAGTAGTTCAAAAGACCAGAGAGGATTATCTTGAACAATAGCTGTATTGTCAGTTCCATCAGCAAGGTTCACATTAAGAAGCCCTCCGAACAACCAAGGATGGATTTCGCCAGCTACAGGTGCAGGTTTAGCCGCCGCAGGTACACCCTGAGGACAATTGCTTTGGGAGCGCACAGGATTGTTGGCGTCAAAAACTTGTCCCATCCAAGCAGCAAATCGTTCAGCACTGAAAACAAAATTGCCCTGAGCGTTAGGCACAATCAGGGCTGCATCTGGACCAAATAGGAATGAATTTTGTTCAAGCTGAGTATCGTTTCTTAAGATGGCTGGGTCAACTGGCTCAGCAAATATCGATCTAACCAATTTTTCCAAATCCAAATCACTGAAACGAGATTGTGGGGCAATGTGAAGATGGGATCCAATAATGCTCAAACTGGCAATAGCAACTTGACGAGAATAATTCTGAATCGCTCTTTCCGCGCGAAGTTTTTTTTCAATAACAATCGATAGAATCCCACGAGTCATGAAAGCACCAGCAGCCTGGGTAACAACTTTATACCACTTACTACATCCGTGAACAAATGATGCTAGCTCTTCTAGATGAAAAGCACGTATCATTTTGGCGACTTAGATACTCCTAGCAGCAAACTTTTAAAGAAATTTGTGTTTGTTTTTCCATCCAGTCAGGGCAACATTTTCAAGGGAGCTCATGCCACGCATAAATTAGCTCATCGAACACCTTCAAATGAAAAGGCAATTTCTGAAAATACATTTGCCAACCCCCAATTTCAATGACTATATAAATAGCATTCTTTTAACACAGAATTTGGGTATGAGAATAGGTCAAAAACAAATTCCTTATTTGTCAAGTACAATAGCAAATGAAAAGACAAGCCAACTGCTAGGCCAATTTCTGCTGCAAACCACTCCCGCTGTGCTTATTTTTGCATTAAAAAAGTTCTAGTGGGCTTTTCTCCAAGCAAGCTGTGACTGCAGTAACAGCTCAAGCCCATTTGGCACATAAGCTGCATTGCTGAAAATACACATTTTTCTGTTTTTCACTGCATTTGTCATCCTATCCTTTTGACTGCTGTCCATTGTCTTCAAATGATCAAAACAAGTCTTAACATGATATAATCCTCCTAACCCCCCTAATTTTCAATATGATATCACCAAAGGGTTTAATCCAACAATAGATGAATGTGTGCTTGGACTATAGGGAATATCTAAAAGTAAAACTCCTCTGGAAGTTACAACAAAAACAGGTTTAAAAGGTGAGACAGATGACCAGGCCAGAAGGAAGAGTGATGACACCTAGCCAGCTTCTTAGCGAAGTGCCAGCATGATGCCTAGAAGATCTGGTCTGAAGATTGCTGGATGAGAGAAAAGGAAGAAAAGAGACGGGTCAAGTCAGAAGGTGAAAACAACTTTTAAGCAGAAATGTCAATGATGAGAGAAGAGAAATAATTAATCATGTTCCAACTATATACTTAATGACTATTCAGAGAAAAATGCAAAATTAATAGCCTCCCAATGGAGGCCTAAAGCTGCCAGGCTTATAATATCTATGGCAAATTAAATATTAAGACACATCAGGCATCAGATGATCATATAGCCTACTTCTATACCCTCTCCATCTCCCTCCCAAAAGAGGCCTTGGGGTTTGTCTTGGTTCCTATACTCTACTGAAGTTATTTTGTGGAATGAAAATTCAGTCCTAAAATTCTGTATTTCTGCTAATATCTTTTTCATGCCCATGCAATTTTAACGAAAGTCACACCATTGATGCACAAAAGAAAGGTATTGGCATGCTCCGGTAATTCCAAGATCTGCAGTTATTAAAAATGGACATGGAGACAGAAGAGAAGAAAAAATGGCTAGGATTCTGAACTGAAGCTACAACTTACTTGCAGAACCTCCAACTTGTTTGGATTTTTTGTTTTTGTTATCTGATTGAGTTTAAAATGTGGCATTAGTACTTTTATAGTATACAATTTGCATTTATTTAATATCTTAAACTTAAATGACTGTACAAGTTAATTTTCAAAAATTTTAATTAGGGAAACAGAACAGGCCTTTATTTATAAGTAAAATTACATTAAATAACCTCAAGCAGTTGAGTGTCCGCTTGGTATAGTAGTTAAGGCACCAGGTTAGAAAACAGGAACCTGTGAGTTCTAGATCTGCCTTAAGCAGTCATGCCTTTTCTCTTAGGGCCAGTCCCTCTTTCTCAGCCCTAAGAAGCAATGACAAACCATTTCTGAAATCTCGCCAAGAAAACTGCAGTGACTTGTCCAGATAGTAGCCAGGAGTCAACACTTGACTTAAAAGCACAAAAAAATAATAATAATAAAAAAAAACCGCCACCACCAAGCACTTACCAAATGCCAGCCAAACACTTTTGAAAGAAGACAATGTCAAGATTAGTAGCAATTCCTGATATATGTTGGATTCAATTTTTTTCCAAACTGGCAAATGAGAAAAAGAAACATTGATAGTATATTCTAGTATTTGATATAAACATTTATATATTGGTTTGGAAGTTTTCTGTTTCAAAAAAAATAGGCCTACAATTTATATTGGATTCAGCCAAACAGAAATGGAAAGTGGTGGGGTAGGGGGGGGGGAGTCCTTGGTGCTCTCTGAGCTTATTTTCTTGCAACCATCTCATTACCCAAACTATGTAAGACCATCAGTGCTAGTAAGGAATGATGTTTGCTTTCAATTTATATTCTAGCGGCTTGCCCTGTCAGTGTTGGTAGGAGTGATCATGGATGTTCTTTGGTTGGGCTGTTTATTGTTAGCTTGTTTAGCAGTTCCTTGATTGGGATATTGTTTACTTCTTGATTGTTGGTCTGATGTTAATGTTGGTGATAGTCTATGCTCATCTGAGTGTTGATTGCTGGTGGGAATGTGTTTTGGTCTTTTTTGTTCCCTTTGGGAGTTGTTGATTGTCTCTTTTGCACAGTATGTAAATGTTTATGTCTGTGGGCTTATTGATGGCTGATTTGTCAGAGTGCCAGACTTCCAAGAATTCTTTAATATTTTTAGACATGGCTTGGTCTAGAGTGGTCATGGTTTCCCAGCTGAAACTATGATCAAGTCTGTGTTGTGAGATTAAAGTGTTTTCATCATGTTTTTTGACTGCTAGTTGGTCTGAAGAAACTTCTTGGATGAGAAGCAAAACATCTTCAAACAAAAACAAGAAAATTCAGGTGCCTCTTGAAAAAGCACCTTTGGGACATCTACAAAACAACCAAGCTCAGAGAACACTAAGCACCCCTCATTTCAACTGATCTACAAATATTCTCCTCTATTGGTATAATTGGAAAGGGGCAGACAAAAGTGGCTTGTCTACATGACTAAAATTGAACTGTGAGACTGAATGAAATATTTTATTGCTTGATGCCCTACAGAAACTGCTACACTTTCCAATTTTGTTTAAAAGGTTAGAATGGAAAGAATATGAAGAAATGTGGAGTCAAACAATTGCCTCCTTATCTTCTCACTTATAAGTAATGTTCATCAAGCATGTTTTAGTTAAAGTGCTTTACAAGAGACCTTTGTCTATAACGTATGGAGGACATAGTAAAATGGAATTTACTTCACAGAACTCATATAACTACTGAACGATGCATTGATTGCCAATTGATTTTAGATGGAATTCAAGATGCTAGTTGTCAATTTTAAAGACCTTAATGTATCAGGGCCTAGATTATCTGTGAGAGTAGTTTCTCCTGATAACATCTGTCCAACCTGCATATCTAGCAGAGTACACACTCCCTGTATTGGAGACTTCCAACAACAGAAACCATGGAAACATGTTTTAAATTAGTGGCCTCCTCCTCTGGAATACCATTTCCAGACATTCAAATGCCCCCTCTCCCCTAATTAGAAAGTTTGTGAAGACTGGGCTATTTCAATAGGGGCAAAGTTGCTACAACTATCTCTCAAGTAATTATTTTAGATTTAAAATAAAGTATCTGATTTTAGTATTTGTGGTTTTCAACATTTGGAATTATGGTTTTAACTGTATTATGATTTTTAAAATCCAAATTATAGAATTGGAATTTGTATGGTCCTCATTTCATTGTAAGAAAGTAAGTAAATTAAAAATAATACTTTTCCTAGAAATGTTATTTCATGTGGTTGAAGGATTAAAAAGTTAGTTATTTGTGGTTTTTCCATGCTAGTGAATGGAAAGCTTACTTCAAATTAGATTCCAAGTTGAAATGAGCAGTTTTAACCAAGTGGACAATAGGTTCAAATCAATCCTCTAAATCACAACTAGTGGACAATGTAGTACCTAAAAGTGAAAAGAAGTAAAACATGTCAGCATGTAAAGAATTTCAGCACTGTTTTCATTCCCCAGTCCCTCCAAAACTATTTGAAGCTTATGTTCATCTCATCTCAGCGGATCAGCAAACACTCAGCATTTCCTGAGATCACAACAGGTGTTTCTACAGAAGGACAGAACCAGTGCGAAAGTAATTCCATTTCTGTGATCCTATTGCAGAGGTGGGAGAGTTGAATCCATTTGCTTTGACTTAGGTGTGATGCATTGGAAACACAGTAAATTTTTCTTTGAAAAATTTGTGAAGAGTCCCATCCTCCATATTATGCTTTGATCATGGGTTTTAGGTCTTTCAAAGGAAAAAAGATGATTTTATACTTTTCAACGTATTCTATTATGAACATCTGGGTTTTTGTTTACAAATGCAAATACATGATGTAGATCAGATGTATGTGTTGGTGCAGTAAGTTTGCTTCTATTCCATACAGAGGGAGGTATTTTCTGGTACACTAGCATCTATGATTTTGGTCATAGTAATATATAATTCTCTTATCCCACTTCTCACAAGTGTAAGAAAATAAACTGTAACCCCTTCTCCATTTTTAATTTGTTTTATAAGCATTTTGAAGCCATTTAAAAAAAGAAAAAGAAAATCTGAGAAGTAGAAGCTTCTGGCTGCAAAGTTATATTCCCTCCTGTTTTAGTTTTTTCTGCAATGTCTAGACCAGAGCAGATACAAGTAGTCCTTGACTTACAACAGTTCATTTAGTGAACATTCAAAGTTACTGAATGGTACTGCAAAAAGTAACATTATATTTTTTCACACTTATGACCATTGCAGCATCCCCCCTAGTCACATGATTCACATTTGGATGCTAGACAACTGACTCACATTTATGACGGTTGCAATATCCCATAGTCATGTGATCTCCTTTTGCGGTCTTCTGACAAGCAAAGTCAATGAGGAAATCCGATTCACTGAACAACCGTGTTACTAATTTAAGAACTGCAATGATTCACTGGGAAAGCCACCTAGGAAAGCCAAGGGAAATAATCAAAACCATAAAAAAGCAAAAGTTATGGATGTGTGGATGTGTTGGATATGTGATGCAACACTTAGAAAAATACTGCACACTTCACTTAATCCTCCAGGGAAAAATTGGAGGCAAATAAGGTCCAGGGAGAAGGCTTCAACAACATGGCTTCAAAATTTAAGGAACCAGTTTGGACAAAACTCAGCAGGACTTTTTCATGTGGCTGTTGATAAAAATAGGATTGCCAATGTCTGATGACGGATAAAGGAGGGGGAAAAGAAAAAGAAGAAGAAATGTAGCAAGTAAAGTTGTAAAACTCACTTAACAAATTTCTCACTTAGCAAAATAAATTTGAGGCTCAATTGTAGTTTAAGTTGAGGACTACCTGTATGCTAAACAATGCTTATGAAAGACTCTAGGAACAGTTCCATAAGCAATATTGAAAAAAGACCAACTTTATTGTTTCAAATAAACTAGTTTTAAAAAATTACTTAACTTTCCAAACCAGCCAATGTTATTTGATTGCAGAGTTGATTCCAATCTAGTATAAGCCTTTGCATGGTGATGATAAGAATTAGTAAAAAAAAAAAAACTGCACTAAACTTTAGACAATTTCAGATTGTTATACCCCGGTTTTCCCAGCAACCTACATTTGAAACTTATTTTACAAAAAAGCTTAAGTTACTAAGTCTCTGGAAATAAAAAGGGAGATTTAATTATAGCAATTATATTTTATGCAGTGTTTCTCCATACTTCACCAAGTAACTCCTATTAATGTCATATCCAAGTAGATTTATTTATTTCATCAGTAGTATTCTCTTTTTTTAAGGTTCTTTTACAGCTTTTTATTACTAGTTGGTGTTTTTATTGTTTTGTGAACTGCCCAGGATTATGATATAGGAGATGTCACAGTCACAGAAGTCTTATAGATAAGGCTTTTACAATAGCAAACATAACTGCAAGTTACAACAGGTTTGTGGGGCTGATTATTAATACATATGTAAATGTCATAGCTTATTCCAAAAGCTCATTTTCTTTCTATATTACATAAAGTTGTTACAGTAAGATTAACTGAAATTCAGATAAAGTTAAACAGCTGTTAGTTTAGCTGTTAAAAAGAACTCCATTAGCAAACATCATAGTGGGATGGCAAATTTAGGGTGGGGTTCTGTTTTTGTTTGGGAGGGGCTTATTGCTGGCCTGTTCCTTTCTAATATCCCATTTTAATAATTTTCCCCAAATGCCCTGTTATTATGTAACATCCATCATTAAATAAAGAGGTTTCAGGGAAAAAATAGGCAAGTTAAAGATACAGAAAACAGGTGCAAAGCTCAAGTGATAAGAGGGTGGGAGAAGGGTAGGCTTCTCACTGGCTTTGCAGGATTTCTCCACCCATTAATAGATATTTATTTAAGTGCACTATCAAGTGTACCAAGTAATTAATTGCTGTCTTTTTTCTCCGAGCACATTCTATCAGGCAGTAAGCTTTGTTCTGGTTAGAAAAATACAAATGAGCTCTCCAGGGAATTTATTGTCCGAAAGTATAAAAATCATCCTTCTAACTTGCAGCAGTAATAGCTCATGTCCATTTTATGTGGAGTATTCCACCAGGCAAGAAAATATTTGTCTTTCTTTACAGGTATAAATAACCTTTTCCTGTTTTAAGTTCTCCTCCTGAGCCCAGTATTGTAAGAACAGCTTTGTCAAGCAAAATGACCCTAAGTCAAACTGCATTTTCTGTTTTTGTTTCGGAAGGGAAAAGCCTAAGGGGATAATTTTATTATAATAAATATATAATAAATGTATTGATTTTATTATATCACAGCGACCCATCATTCTAAAAGGAGAGCAAACGGCGTTCTTATGTTCCAGGGAGTCTCCTCTCCCAAATAGACCCTTTATTTCGCCTTGGTAAATCCTGCCTTCCATTTCTCCCTGAAAGCTACGGATTCAATCCTTTGGAAATGATTGGTTCCCCTCCGCGTCGAAGGCAGGGAGAAAGGAGAGTCCCGAGATGCAGAAAAGCGCGACCAAGATTTTGAGCGCCGTTCCCACCTCTCTCGTCTGCTCCCTCCTCGCTCTTTTCCCATCTGACTCTGAACAGCGACTACGGCGGCGGTTCTTCCGCTACACCCCTGCAGAGCAGTCTAGGCGCACCAGAGAAGAAAAGAAACGGCCTCGGCAACTTGCGGCCCTTTTTTTTTTTGCAGCCGAGCAGAAGTAGCTGCGGCAGCTCCTTCCGGTTTCGTCCCCAGCCCTCCTCGCCCCGTCACCTTGCCACATCGGAGTCTTCCTGGAGGGGCGGGGCTTATCCGATCCTGGAGGTGACGGGGAAGAGGCCGGTTGCTTTTTGAAAAGAAATGGCGGCCCAGAGTGTGGTGTGCGCCTCTCCTGCCTTCTGTTGTACGCATCTGAAGAGATTTTTCTTTTTGTGTGTGCGCGCTACATATTTTTGTGTTTTTTTTATTTATTATTATTTATTTATAACTAACATGCCACCCATTCACATAAAGGCGACTCTTGGCAGCTAAGTAAAAGCAACGGGATAAAGCAATAAAATATTAAAGTAATACATATTAACTTTAAAATTCACTTACAGTTAACAAAGTCGGCAAGGAAGGAAACATGTTTCTCTCTCTTCACATCCAGGGGTTAAACGGAAAAGGATTTTCCTCCGCGAGTTTGGATTTCCCAGCTGGGAGAATGCCCTGCTGAGTGAATGAATTTGGGATCGAAGCAAGTTGCGTTGAAAGCAAGTTGTCTTTATTATTTCAGGAAGGTCAGACCTACAGTGGCGTAGATCAGCGTTCCTGGGTGAGCTGACAGCCATATACAGAGAGAGTACATTTTTTATACCATTTTCCTCTTTGAAGTCCTTTTGTTTTCTTTGTATTATTGTTTTATCACCTTTTGTGTGTACCTTTGCTAATGGTTCTAATCCTGTCTTGCGTTTTGTTATTCCTCTGCCCTAAAGTACTTTCCATGGAGCTGGGATGAGCACAAATGTCTTCTACTGTGTTTCCTATTTTACATTTCTGTCCTGAGCTATTCAGTCTTTGTTGCCACTCTGCCCTTTTCCTTTTGCTTGAGGGTGGCATCTTCCTGCCCTTCCTGGGTCTTTTGTCTTATTTCCTACTCTGCAGCTATTCCTAATGGTCCTGATATCCTGGTAATTATTCTCCGGAGGTTCCTTTTAAAATGTATGCTGGCTTTGTTATTCTAGTGACTTTTTATGTGCTGTACTGGTTTACCTAATGCAACACTGTCTTAGTGAAGTTCCCTTCCTACACAGGAAAATATAATATTCTGGTTTTTCAATATTTCCTAGGATATTTCATTTTTCTAGGAGAGGGCTGGGTGCTAACTTCCTACAATGGTTTACTTTTCAACCTAGGTGATATATTAAATATGCCAGCACCTGGATAGCATTTCATTACTAATTTTATTCATCATGACTTGGTCTAATGGACAAGGTACCAGGCTGGAAACCCAGAGATGGTGAGCTTTATTCCAGCCTCAAGCATGAAAGCCAGCTGAGTCACTCACTCTCAGTCCAGCCCACCTCAAAGAGTTGTTGATTGGAGGAAAACAGGAGGAGGAAAGAGTATTGTGTGCGTTCACCTTGTAAACATAAAGTGGGATATAAATAAATATATATTTATATATATAATATAAATAAATACAAAGAATATAAATATTCTTTGATTTGTTGTCCAAGGAATGATTTCTTTGGACTGTAGCATTCTTCATACTTTACTCTCTTCTCCACTGGAAAGCTTGATAGGGTATCTACATGAAATTACATAATTACTACCATATGCTAGTTTTTAAGGCTGAATCCTGATACTTGGAGACAAGTGAAAGAGGCCATATTGGACTTTGTGAAAATGCAGAAGGTTCTCATACATTATCTCACTAAATCCTATTCATTCAAAAATTCCTTGGTGTTAGTTTCCATGGTCATTTATTATTCCAAAGTATATGGAACTCTCCTTTTCTAAGATTATTGATTACCTGAAAACATAGAGGCAGTCTTGCTTCTGGGGTTCATCAGCTCAGTAATAGTTCTTACCTGGTGCTGTTCATATATATTAGTACAGATAGTCCTCGACTTACTACAGTCAATTAGTAACAGTTCAAAGTTACAATGGCACTGATAAAAGCGACATAATTGTTTTTCACACGACCATTGCAATATCCCCATGGTCCTGTGATCAAATTTGGATGCTTGGCAACTGGTTCATATTTATGATGGTTGCAATATCCCAAGGTCTTGTGATCACCTTTTGCATTCTTCTGACAAGTAAAGTCAATGGGGAAGTCAGATTCACTTAACGACCAGGTTACTAACTTAACAACTGCAATGAATTATTTGACAAGAGTGGCAAGAAAAGTCATAAAATGGGGCAAATGTCTCGCTTAGTAACATAAATTTGGACTCAGGTGTGGTCATGAGTCAAGGGCTACCTGTACTGGAGGGTTGCAGGCCCCTCACTCCAGTCATTCTGTAACTAAACTCCCATAAGTATAATAGAAATACTTACACATCAGTGTCCCATTTACTGTGTCTTTCTTTCTACTTCATCTGTATCTCCTTTTATTTCTTGCTACATACAAGCTTCCTATGCATCCTGTTCCAAATAATGAGAATAATGTCCAATTTTGTAATTAATTTAAAAGATGTACGTGGCTGTCCATCTTAAAAAACAATTCTGGATCGTCATTTATATACCTTTCATTTAAGCCCTGGGAGATAGGTTACTTGGCTAATGCTGCCACTATATATTTTATTACATGTATTCCTAACTGTATCCTTTTTTCCCCTGTAAATGAACTGAATAGGGGATATGTGAACTACTGTTAAAATGCTCGTAGACTGAAATTGATTGACTAAGAA